CTCATGCATGGATGCGGCAAGCTTGAAGATGTAAAATCATACACAACTTTTCTTCAAGAAAGCGTTAAAGCCAAGATTTCTTACGACCCCACAACGCAACAGTACCGTTCTAGTCGACGCCCTCTTTCTCCCTCCACGCAAGAAAAGAGTGAAAACATTTCCAGCATGAGTGCACATGTTCAATTGTAGAGCAACACCATTCATACTGTTAACGATGTGATGGATGACAACATCCTACAATTTCATTCAGTACCCAGCTATTTATCGAGGCTTTCGTAATTTCGGCCTTACGCCGTTTTTTTACTACGCCTTAATTTTGTCTCCTAAAATTTGTATGCATTTAAGAAATCAAAGAATTCAAGGCGACATGCTTTCAGTTCGTTTAGACATTGTACACACCGCAAGTGCGTACAATTCAAATTATGTTAAATGCCATAAATCAGCCAGTTCTGCAGTGACTCTGGTAGAAAGCACCAGCGAACGAAATCCGAACTCGCCGCCACAGCCTGTCCTGCACTTGCGCAGCGCTTCAACATTTTGAGCGTGACACTACTCTTTTCAAGACACATCCTTACTTAAATCAATGAGGAAAATAAATAGCTGTCTGCTCTGGAAAAATTTCAGCTCCCCAGCTCAGCTGGTCCATCAAATCCCTCCCCAACAAGTTTTTCTAATGTTCCCGTATGGCAAGCATAAGGCGGATATGAAAGCTGAACTTAATTTGTTTGGGTTGCACAAGGACAGAGAATATCGTTGGAAAAAAGAGACCTTCGTTTCCGCAATTTATCAGTGACGCAAAAGGCGCAGGATGAATGATGGGAAGTGAGAGCCAGGCGAGCAAGAACATGAAAAACAAGCGGCAAAAATCGCTCTTTTGAGCGGATTAGTGTAGCAATTGAATAGCTGAGATGTGGATGTGGACGAGGCGGACTTCTAGAACGGTGGAGAGCGTGACACCAGAGTTTTCTGCTGCCCTGTGGTTTCGTGGACGAGAACCTACAATCAAAGCATGTGGGCTGGCGCCCCAATGACATTGAAAAGTGCGCAAGGGAGCGGGAGAGGAGGGGAGACGGGGGCAGGGGAGCTGGACGACGAAGTTGCCGACGACCGCATCCAGTGATAACAGCGTTGCTGCCAGATGTCCAGGAATGCGGGAGATGAGTGATCAGCCCTGGCCATCTGATTTATTGTGAAGCAGATGCTGGTGCAGTCCGCTGCTGTCAGCGATTCAATCGATGGTCATAAGTGAAACGTTTCCATGGATGACAAAGGACGACCTTCGCGAGATCGATAAGCTCGCACTTCGGCCTCCGAGATCCCGCACGTCGACCTTTCACCGCGAAATGCCCCTGCGCTGCAGCCGGTGCAGATGGGGGACGCCTCTCAGTCGCGTGCAAACTAGAAAGTGTCAAGAACTGCTTGGCACGAGAATGGCGAAGGGCGGGGGGGACAAGCTGTACGGGACACGCCATACGCACTGGCTGGGGCTGCTATGTGACACACGCAGATGGCAGTGGGCTACTCGGAGCCCGGAGCTGATAGGCAGCTGGCCAAGCACAAGCAGCCCCGAGAGCTTCACAACGGGCAGCTGCTGCTCATCATCAAGCAACTCTGTTCTGTAGAACGCACCACAGTCTCCGACTTTCTGCCAGCCACTTCAGCTCCTCGCGCTTCTGCCTGTACAATGCTACCGACCACTGTGGCTGGCGCTACTACAGCCACTGGCCCTTTTTTGCTGCCATCCGCGAACGCATCCCATTTGGGACGTGCCAAATTTCATGAACGCACCAGCAAAAAAAGTCGCGCCAGCTAATTTTCGAATTGGGTCAGTTCTGGAGACCGACCAACACTCGGCTAGGCGGCGGGCGGCTTGCAATGCTGCGGGGAGGTGGGGGCACGGAGTCCGAGGTTTCGAAGGCTAAGGGGGCGGTGTGAGCCTCGGAGGTAGTACAGAACGGGGTTGTTGCTTGCAAACGGTGCTGAGGCACTGCTTCCAGGCAGAATTTTGAAAAAGGGGCGGGTCATTTGGAGGAGTGTGCTTCTGTGGGTTTTCCATGCGCAGCCCGGTGCTGAGGAAGTTGACAAACTTGAATGCGACATCTCGAGTCTTATCGGGACAGACGGGGACGATTTTCGCAACTTGGGCTCGGACTCAATGTAGGCACATATCCCCCGTAGACTCCGCCTCCGTTCCCACCCTCTACCTCCAGCCGAGTTTCCTTCCAGCTAATAACACCATTTCTTTCTCTCCGTCACACCCCCCCTCCCCTCACGCTCCGTCCTCCCGGAATCTGCACCACCACTCCCTCTACCCCGTCCACTTTTCGCGTTCCCGCTCATCTCGCGCCAGCTGCGCGAGGTGAGTTTTAGTGGTTGCCGGCGTAGCCGAGTTGTATGCGGAGCCAGGTTTTGCTGGTTGCCTCAGTTTTGCTTGTCGCTTGGTTGCCGCTGTGGCTCGTCTCGGAGCTGTCGTATGCTTGGGCTGCAGTCCCGATCGTGGGGCCTGAGGGTTTGTCGGGCGGTGCGCGTCCTGTAATTAACTGTGGGATGTTTCAGTGGTGTGTCGGAGATGGTGCTGCTCGTCGTAAGTGTTGTGCTGTTGCTGGCGACGGTCGCTCTGCTGCTGGTCACGGTGCTGGCTGGCATCAACAGCTTCTCGGCATTGTTGCGTGTCTTCAGTGATCTGCTCAAGAGGAAGCACTCGCACTGGCTGGCCAGTCTGTTTCAAGTAAGCTTTCGTTTCTCGGCTCTGCTCCTGACGTGCGTGGCCTCCCATGCTGCCTCTTCCCACTCGCGTGCTGCATCCCTGGCCGACCGGCGGTGCTCCTTGTGGTGTGTGAAATGAGTAGATTGCTTTGTAGTTTTATGCATTTTCAGCGCATTACTCATTTTTGAGCAGCAGCTAGTCCACGCGTTCTGGAAGCCTGAGCAAGCCATCAACCAGTGGCCTTCCGAGTCCCTGGAATTTA